ACCGGCCGAGTTATGTATGCGAAGGAGACCCGAAAGTAACATACCGGTATGATAAGAGCGAGAACATAAATTAAATCAAAAAGTGTGTACGAGCCCTGTAGCACTAACCTGGATGGATGAGCCAACCGGTGGAAGAAAAGTACAGTACCGTATTGGCAGAGGTTTCGGGTAAGGAAGGACAGGGTCCCGGTAGGAGAAGAAGGGGGTTTGTTGAATGAATGAAAGCGATGCCCGGCGGCGGGGGGTAATCCCGTGAATCGCAAAACGGGAGAGAATGTGCGTGGGATTGGATTGTATTGTGAGTTACACAGATGCCCTTGGATGCCGTAGTTTCTTGCCCATTCGTTCGTACTACAGTAGCTCCAGATAGGGGCAAAAATTGACATGGCAAGAAGGGAGGAGTAACAGCGGTAACGTGGAAGTACTGTACTGCGAGAAGGAAAAGGATAACGAATGAGGAGGGAGGTGGAAATACGGCAAGTGAGGGAGAGGGGGAAAAAATCAAGGAAGGGACCAAGGATCAAGAATTCGTGATTCTCACTTCTCCACCCGTCTCCTGAAGGGCAGCGGAAGTATCATAACTGGTAGAATATGGACTTCCCTCGGCATGGACAGAAGGATGGAAGGGGAAGGAAGGCCTTGGGCTTTCTTTCCTTCTTCACTCGGTTTGACCCGTACCGGTATTGTAGTGCCAGGGGAATCAACACAGCACCGTACGGTATCCTGATAACCACCACACGTGAATCCGAGCTGTAACGCTGCAATGCTAGCGATGATACCGTAGAGTAGGCACGATAGTCAACCAAGCCATGATAAATCACCGTTGCTATCATAGTCTAACGTCGACAATTGTCAATGAGGTCGGAAAGGGGGGGAGGGGTCAGTCAGCCAAGAAAAGAGGCAGCACCAGAGGGAGAGAGGAAGAGAGAGCTGCCGCCAATTTTCCTCAATGCTGTGCAGACAGAGAGAGACAGAGAACCAGTCCAACCTATCATACCACCACGAACGAACCCATCACGAACCCCCCCACATCCACATCTCTCCTTTCGTACACACCCCAGTCGGTTACGACAGAGGCAAGAGATCATTGGTCCCGATGCCACGACCCGTGTCCGCGGTCCCGAGGTGAGAGCCTGGTCGGCAAACATGCATATGAGGAAATTTTTAATGTGTCCATCTATTTATCTAAACAAAATAAGCGGCGCGTATATCGAGTAAGGTGGAAAAAAGAGGGAAAATGACCCTTTCGGTATCCACCTGTGTAGCATACTTGGGGGAGCATTACCATATGCAGTTGGGGCTTGGTATGGTATCATTTTTCCTCTCGTTGCTTCTTCCTTCGCATCACTTATCTCATCTTGATGTGGGATACTGAGGCGCTACGATACGCACGGTACGGTACCACTACGATGGCGGCAGCATAAAGCAAATATCCAGATACCGGGAGACACAAGAATGGAATACAGTTAGCTGCCCACACGGTGGGGATTTTAAAAATAAAATAGCATACCGTTTGAAGAGGATGCCCATTTTCCCCGTCTCTGGGAACGCATTTGCGTGTGAAAAAAAGGAAGAAGGGATGGACAAAGGATTCCACATCTGAACACATCCTGCGCGAACGGTGTGCGGTGTTTCTGATTCTCCCACCTACCTTGCCCGTCCCTCCCTCCCTCCTGCCCCTAGCAGGCCCATTACCTTAGCACAGTACCGTACTATTACATACGCATGCGCGGGAAAATAAACCCATCTGTCGTTTTTTTGTTTTTTCTTTCGCTGTTTTTCTTTTCCCTCTCTCATTGATCGATTTCCCCTTAGGTTTCCTATCCCCCTCGATATGGGAGCCAAAGAGGTTCGGGCCTCTCACGGTTTACACTGCCGAAGAGGCACACGCATCCGGCAGACCGGGGTAAGGGTGGGCTGGGCCGGGTTGGATGAGAGGGCAGCGCGAAAGGAGGGTGCGAGTGGGAGCAAACGGGCAGCGCGAATGAGGTCGAACGAAAAGTGAGCGAAGCGACAGTGAAGGGGGGGGAAAGACAGACAAGACTTAGCGGTAGCGCACCCGTATCCTCTTCACCTCCTTCCATTGTGCCTCGCAGCAAGGGTTGTGATATTTTATTTACTGTCCGAGCGGCAGGGCAAAGCATGATAGGCGTGAATGAGGGAGACAGGTGCTGACTCGCCCCGATTGAAGTTTGACGCCAGACGCCCTTTTGCTCAACCGGGCGTGGCCTGAATCCGCCTGCAGTCTCTCATCCATCTGCGCGAACTGTCGCACGGTGTTTCCGTCATCATGGAACTTGAGGAGGATTGGCGTTGACCCTAGCAATAGGTTTTCGCCAACAAGACCGCGGCCAGTAAGGCCCCCCCTCGCCCCCCTCGATTACCCTACAAGTACAGCTAGCTACCATTTATCCTCCCCCCCCTTTCCTCCCCACTAACCACCACCCCGGTCGAGAAAATTAATCTCAATTTCCTCTATTTTACCGGTACCGTATTCCCAAAAACCTCATACCGGACAGCAGCAAGCACCTGTACAAGTACCAGCAGATATGTCTTACGCTTAGCTCGGTTTAACCAGTACAAGTACCTGTATGCACACCGGTATCTCGAGTACGGTACAGGATGAATGTTGATAGTGGATGGGTGTGAGGAGAGAGGCCTTGTGCAGATCTGTGGCAGTTGTTGGCTAGCTCTGTTACATCTCTCTGCGTGCATCTCATCCTTCCACTCGCTTGACATGCGTGCAGGCAATTACAAGTATAATACTTGCGCGGAACCCCCTGGTTCGTTCGTCCCCTTCGGGGCCAAAGTGGAGGTGGTGGTGGTGGTGCACCCTTCCCCACCAACCACCCTTCACCAACAAGCCAACAAGAGGAGAAAGGGCTCATGGTCAATCGATCTCTTTTACTCCCTTTTTTCCAAGAGCACTTTTCCAGGCAGGATGAGAAAAAGCAAAAAAAAAAACACAAGCAGGTGCAGCCGCACTATTCCTAGTTCACTATTCCTTTTCCATCACTCTCTCCCACCCCCCCCCCCCTCCCCTCTCCTCCACTAGCGTTTCTCGAGTTGCCCGCCTGTTCAGCTTTCTCCGCACGAGTGAAAGGGACGGATGGCAGGAAGGGGGGGGGTGGAGGAGGAAAAAATTAAAAGCAAATGATGGGATTCGAAGGGCTCTATGTGACCAATAAATCGTCCCTTGCTAACTCCATCATTTTCAACAAAAGAACCAGCACCGAGAGTGATCGATGCTTCCAAGCCAATTTTCAATCATCGAATTCCCCTTTCCAGAAACTCCAATCTCTCGTCAATATTCATCTTCTTCTCCGTATTTTTATTTATCACAGCAACCGGATCCTTTCTTTCTCACCTGTAGCATAGTATCTCTCCATCCTCCCTAGAAATCAGGGGATGGAACAGTAATAATACCTGTATCCGTCTATCGGGCAAGCGAGAAAACGAGGGGGAAAAAGGAAGGTTTGATCTCTACCCGATCTTGCTTCGCTATGTGTGGCTCTCGCCGTAGGGCGCTCCGGCGAACAGCCCCGTCCGAGTTTTCCTCGCCATGGATTACGGTATGTACGAATAACGACTCCTACGAGCACAGACACGGTACTCCAAGTACTCGCGCCCCAGCAGATCCCAACGGAGGGGCTGAAGGGAAGGAGTGCACGAAGCCTGGGTTGGACGGAAGGGAAGAATGCGCCGGGAAGAGGACAGAGACGGGGAACGATGGATAGATGAGGTTCATGGAAAGCAAGCCGAATTGCCTGTACTCCGCCAGTCTTGCGTGCCCCGGGAAACCCCCCCCCCCCCTCTTCGTCACCCTCCAGCTCTCATAGTTCTCTACTGTATTTTCCCCTACCCCCTCCCGGTACACAGACTCAGTTTTGGCCGTGTATTGAGTGTGAGTGAGTGAGTGAGCAGCGTGAGTTGTGTGTGTGCGCGCGTGTGTTTATTTTGCAATCCACAGTATGACAATCCATTGCCATCCACCCATCCACCACCACCACCACCCCCCCCCCCCCCCATCTCACTAACCACTACCACCTCCACACTTCCCATAACTGCAGATAGGCCCCAGGCGGGCGGTTTCATAGTTCACAAGAAGGCAGAGTCCGCCAAAATGGTCGGAACAAGACTTCCCAGCTACCGTATTCCTTGGGCTCATCCAGTGTACTTACCCACCTCCCCAAAATCTATACACCACCCCCCTTCCCCTCTTCCTCCTCCTTTCCCCTTCATGTTCCTCAAAGTACAAGATATACATCATCCCGTCAGTATTCGATCGAAGATTCGCCGAGCTGCAATGCATGCAAGTAGCAGTGGTAACTTTTAATTCCTTTTTCTTGTTCTGACCAGGGATCTCTCCCACGCCGCCTCTGGTCGTCACCTGCTCAGTTCTGCCACGGTACTCTCTCACTCTCACTCTCACTCTCACTGTCTCTCACTCTCTCACACTCTCTCCCTCTCTCTTTTTGCCCCCAGGTCACAAACCCACCCCCCTCTTGCTCCTCCCTGGCCTTGCAGCAAGTATATGACCGACGCCCTCCTACTACTGGGCGACGCCGCGCGGGTGGCAGAAGATACACCCAGGTCAAGCAAAACTTTTTTTCCCTTCATTCACTCTGTGTGGGGGAGGGGTGTTATAAGTTGGACATCAGCTCTACCAACAAGGCGCAGCTCTTGCGGTCCGTTGAGAGTACGACCGACCGACCGACGGTCCGAGACGCTTCGCCCAGCCTCCTGGATACAGATCCTACCCGGCAAAAGGTTTTCCTGGTAGTCTCACCTTTCCCTTACCATCTTCGAACCCCGGGCACGCTCATAAAGTCACAACCGCAATTCTGGCATTAGCAGTGGCATCGAATCCAGCCCGTGTCTGGCATCGTGACAAGATCCATCGGTTGGGTGGCCCTGCACTTGGGACAATGGATATCTCTGGCCTAGTATATCGTACAAACGAACACTCGGCTTCAACATCTACGTCATCACGAGGAATCATGGCTCCCCACTTGCCCATGAATGCTCAGCCTTTTGTTCAGAATCAGATGGGAGACTTTGACGCGTATCCAGGACAGTTTGGCTTCGATGCTTCCCAAGTCCCCCAATACCAGAATGTCAGCGTTGTAGGACACCCGCCATCTGGATTTCCTCAACCATACCCTCCACCACAACAGCAACACCATGCAAATCCCCACCACGGACAAACGCATCCCCATACAGGCCCGCATCCTCATCATCCTCATCACCAGCCTCACCCTCATCCGCAGCAAGCCCATCCCCACCCTCACCCCCATCCGCACCACCAACAGCACCTGTCACATCCTCATCACCCGGGTATTCAGCCCACAACAACCATTGTTTCTCATCGACTCCCTCAAGCCCAGCAGCAGCAGCAAGCCCAGCAGCAGCAACAGGCTCAACAGGCCCAGCAACAGCAGCAGGCGGCAGCAGCCCAACAAGCTCAACAGCAAGCCACACAGCCAGCACAGCCACACAGCCAGCAGCAGGCCAGCAGCAGCAGCAGCAACAGCAAGCCCAGCAGCAAGCTCAACAGCAGCAACAGGTCCAGCAGCAGCAGCAGCAACAGCAACAACAGCAAATCCCCCCGGAAAACCGACGAAGACCGGCTAACATATCCCGACAGCAGCCTCCGGCAAAAGCAGTTGTTCAAACCCAGAGCCAGAATGCTAGGCCTTTATCCTATCAGTACCCCCATTCTTCGCCACCGCGGGGGAGCCCCGGCTCAACAAAGGTTTCAAATCCCAATCACGACGTTGACTTCCAAACCGATGTCGACACCCTAATGAAGGCGATACAAGCAAGGCAACCTGTAGTAATAAAAGCCGAATCAAACTCACCTTCACCAGGTTATCCCCAGCCCCGACAGCCACTGAAGAACCCGCCAGTAACACCAATACATCCAGCCGGTTTCCAGAATAGATCGCCCTATACGAGCAACCCGTACGGCCAGAATGGCTATCCACCACAACTCAGCAGCAATCTCCAGGCACAAGCGTCGGGGAGTGGGCTCGGTCTCCCCAAGTTGTTGGCCGAGGATGAGGACCCATCATCCAGGGGGGGAAAGGAGGAGAAAAAGTCGGGTTCGCAGAAGGCGAAAAAGAGATACGAATGCGATGTTCCCGGTTGTAACAAGAGCTTCTTTCAGAAGACACACCTCGATATCCACTCCAGGGCACACACTGGAGATAAACCTTTTGTCGGTTTCCCCCATTTTTCCTCATTATTTTCCCCCGCTTTATTCCCAGCGGATGGCCATCCCCCCCCCCCCCCTCTCTCCTCCCTTCCTTTGCGGTTTCCGTTAATCATCACGCTCCTCGCTCCCTCAATATAGTTCGTAGTGCTGACATTAGAGATAGCCCTGTAGTGAACCTGGATGCGGCCAGCGATTTTCCCAGTTGGGTAACCTGAAGGTCCGTTCTCCTCCCGTGCTTAGACTCTGCTCTATTTGCCCGTTTTCTGTATCCAGGGGATTTCAGCCCTCATCTGTATGTTGGTGATTGATTTTTTTTTTTGATGTTCTCTTTTAGACACACGAGCGTAGACATACTGGCGAGAAGCCCTATTCCTGCGATTTTTGCGGTAAACGGTTTGCCCAGAGAGGCAATGTTCGTGCTCACAAGATTGTACATGATGGCTCAAAGCCTTTTACTTGCCGGCTGGACAACTGTGAAAAGCAGTTTACGCAATTGGGGAATCTTAAGGTGCGAGCGCTCTCTACTCCCCCTACAGCCTACTGGATGAATCGCGGGTGATATTCCATGTTTCGTTTTGACTACGCATTTATTAATATTTGTTCGCCGTGTGTGCCCCACAGTCCCATCAAAATAAGTTTCATGCCGTAACTTTGCGGCAATTGACAGAGAAGTTTGCACAAGTTCGGGAGGGTGACGACATTTCAGCGGCGGACAGAGAGTTGTTCGAGTACTTTGCCGAGCTCTACAAGAACTCGAATCGCGGCATCAAGGGGAGGGGGAAGGACAGGAAGATCACGGGCACAAAAAAGCCCAGATTGGTTGATGGGGAGATGGGCAGCGATGCTGGGCGTCATGCGGGTGGTGACATGCACTCGATGACCTCCCCGAACGGTTCCTGCGGGAGCAACTCTAATCCCGATGGGGGATTCGATTTCTCGGCGGGGCATATGGACGAGGAGGATGAGAGTTCTGTGGATTCGCCATACGAACAGCAGCAGCTTCCTCCCATGAGGCCTGGCGCGGGATCGGTCGCGATGGTACCAATGGGCGCTTACCCCGACGATACCATGGCGCTACATACGGACATGGCTAAGTACAGCTTGGACCGGAAGTTTTAACAGTAGGATCATTATTTTTTTTGATTTTTTTTGAAAAAGGAAAGAACAAAAAAAAAGCTTATTTCTACAGTACAGTTTTTATTTTGCGGCTCGGTAATATATCTCCTGATCTGCATAGCCGTTTGGCTGTGTTTCCTTTTCCTTTTCCTTTTCTTTTTCCCTTTTTCTTTTTCTTTTTCTTTTTTTTTTTTTTTTAAAATTTACCCCTTCTTTTTAACCTACTGTCACTTATTTCCTTTTTTCTTGTTTTTTCTTTTTTCCTTTCTTTTCTTTTCTTCCTTCCCCGTACCCTGTTGCTCGGTTCTGATCCGGGGTAATCAGGCGAAAGGAAAGGGAAAGAAAGGAAAATGGGCGTTGGCCGATTAGCGGATTTGTTCGTTTTTTTTTTTTCTTTTCAATTATCATTTCCCTTCTTTCCAACTTTTCTATTCCTTTGGTGTGGGGTGCATTCATTTCCTTTTTTTATACCGTTCTGTGTTAAAAAAAAGTCTACCATCATGCGGCTGGTAATAATTCGAACCTTTTTTTTTCTCCCCCGCCTTCCGCAGACTATTGCTTTTCATCCATCCTCTATCTATCTACGATTTGTTATTATTTCCCGTCCCTACCGTACGTCCATCTGTCCATCCATCCCACACAGAAAAGAATCAAGGAAGGAGGGAGAAAGGAAAACGGATGGAGAAGAAGGCGGAGAAAGAAGAGGAGGAAAAAAAAAAAATCCGGAAATCTCGGCACGATTTGGGGGCGCTTGCTTACTTATCTAGTTTGTTATTTATAGCTGGTGCTGTGGGTGCTTTTATCATCTCGTGGTTGAGCATAGTTTGAATTGTTGATTTCGATTTTGACACTTTTGATTTGAGGTTACAATTACCCTCCTCTGGTTCATTTTGTCTCGCCCCGCTCTGCCTGCTGCGGTATGGGATAGGGTGGGCTGGGCTGGGCCGGCCTGGTTGGGTATGGTACGGCATGATACGATAGTTGCTCCTTCCTCCCTCTTCCTCGATATCTTTTTTGAGAGAGTGGATAAATGTGTGTGTGGTGTGTGGTGGGGGGGGGGAGGGGGGTGTGGACTGGAAAAAAGAGATGAGAAAATTTTTTATTCCTCAACTTGATCGATTGAGCCAGGAATCGTATCCTCATTGCCTACCGTACTTGGCCAACACGACGAGGACAGCGCTCACTAGTTGGGCTAACCATGCCAGGCTACGGGTACCCTGTAGTTGATCTTCCACGCCTTGTGCTCTTGATACTGATAAGAATGGGGGTGCGCCAGTGGGTGGTAACCGCATGATACCGGTATTGGGAAGAAGAAGAAAAAAGAAAAGAAGAGACAGCCTGTAAAAAAAAAATCTAATGTGGGCTTTTCAACCTGTTTGATTTTCTAATCTTGAGGGTAACGTGGGGGCTGGATTCTCTCTTTTCCCTTTTTCCTTTCTTTTTTTTTCTCTCGTCCCCCCCCCCCCTCCGAATGTTGTGTGGATGGCTGTCTCTCTTTTTTTTTGCTTTTTCAACTTTCTTTTCTTTTTTCTGCGTGCTTCTTGCTTTAGCGGGGTTTTCCTCTGACTCGCGGTTGGACGCTGTGGCAGGGTAAAAAGGATAGGACAGGATAGGATAGGACAGGATAGGACAGGACAGGACAGGACAGGACAGGACAGGACGGGAAAGGAAGGGAAAGGAAGGGAGGAAAGGTTTCACGTGCAAGTTATTCTTCCTTCTTAATAATAATGATAATAATAATAATAACAATAATAATGATGATAATATCATTATCAGACTTGGCAAATATTGTGCGGTATCATATCTCTCTCTATCTTGTGTACCCGGTACTTGTGCTGGCTCCTTGGGCACAGCGTCGTGGGTTGCGTCCACGATAGCCGCATGGGCATTGGCACGGCGCCCCCATAATCCCCCTCTCGCGCTTTACTACCCTCTCGCGCTTTAAATTTAGCGCCGTCCAAAATGACATGGAATGGCATGATAGCGTACGATATCGCTGAGTTACGTACTGTTGTGCCCTCGCTCCCCTGTGCCGTGAGAAAACTGGAAGGATTAGGAATCGGGCTGGGACGTCCAGAATTTCCCACTTTGGATCACTCACTCCCTCACCCACTCACTCTCGGCCCTCGGTCGAGGATGTGAGGGGAAAATGGGAAGGAAAGGTAGGGTACGATATCATCATACTCGTACAGTACCAAGAGGCCTTGCCGCGCCAGGCCCATGCCATTCCAACCTCCTGTCGTACCGAGATTCTCGTTGACGGAGAGTTGGTTTGTTCAGGGTACGGTACGGCATCTACGGTACATGCGCTGATATATGTGATTGATCCCCCCCGATCGGTATCACGGCGAATCGTCTCGTCTGGCGAGTACCGGTACCGGAATCATACTTGGTGGCATACCACGCAGCGGAAGGGAAGGAGGAAACAATTGCTTCTCCTTCCTTTTCTTTCTTTCTTTCTTCCCTTCTTTCTTTCCTTCTTTTCCTCTCTCCGCTGGTACCGTATCAGACAGCACGCTACCGAGATTCTGGTCCTCTTTTACTTTTTTCCCTTTTTCTTTATTCTTTCTTTTTTTTTTTTTTTTTTCCCCTTTTACCCCTTTCTTTTTTTCTTTTTTACCATACTTTTTCATTCCGCCCTACCTGCCTACCTACCTACCTGCCTGTTTGCCTGCCTGCCTGCCTGCCTACTCGCTTGTCCGCCCGCTCGCCCGCTCGCAACATTTACCCCCCCCCCCCCTCCGCCACCACCACCTCATGACGGGGTACTCGAGTACAGTACTCGTACGTACGCTACGTACCACACTCGAGCACGATACCGATACTGTTGTAAATCGAGGAACGCAGAAAAAAAACCCACCCCCTTTCCCCGTCTACAGTACGGCACTCGTTCACGTATATGTACACAGCACAATAGGTCCCCTCGCACTCGCCAACCGATTCCGAAGGGGAAAAAAAAAAAAGAAAAAGAAAAAAGAAAAAAGAAAAAAGTATCAGTAGCGCATTCGGGGAATCCGCGCGCTAGATTTTTTTCTCCTTTTTGTTTTTTCCTCCCGATACCGGAAAAGGAAAAACCCGACGACGACGTACTCGAATATCGATCGATTGAGAGGTACGAGTAAATAAATGTGCGGGGAAGATTTTCCGGACTTGCTGCACTCGCCGCCCCCGGGATTCCCGCACTGCACGAGCACTGTACCGTAGGATACGGGCTTTTGCCCACCTATTACCCGCCTGCAAAAAAAAATTAGGTAAATTATTGTTAACCGTACTAGTACTGGGCAGTGCAGTACTGTGTGATGATGATGTCCTTCTGTGTGCCCCACATCATACCTTGTATGGTGATGCCGTAAGCGAGTGGGCCGAGACGTGATGGTGCGGCGGCGCTGTTCCGGTACTCGTACTCGCACTTGGAACGCGTGGTGGGGTGATTGATTGATTGATTGATTAATCATTCAATTTATTCGTTCGGTACTGCACGGTACGGCAATTGCACTTTGATTTCGCCTTTCAGTTCATTTATTTCACTCTTATTCGGGTCCCGTCCCGTCCCGCCCAGTCCGGTCCAGTCCAGTTCGGTCGGTCCGGTCCGGGCTCGCTAGCCTGTTGGCCGGCTGGACGGAGTATATATATATGATACCGGTATAATTATATTGCGTGTATAATTATGATATACATGTACGAGTAGGTTTTTTGGGGGTCACGGCGGATGAGGCGTTTATTTCGTTATTCGGTCGCTGCGTTGCGTTGAGAAGGGGGCGGGTTTCGGGTTGGCCTTTCCTTCTCTTTATCATTTTCGGCATCATTCATGTTCGTCGCTGTTCGTGTTGGCCGGTTTGATTGGTTGGTTGGTTGGTTGGTTGGTTGGTTGGTGGTTCGCTTGGCGAGGCGGTTTTTGGGAGATGCCGAAGCTTTTTTGGACTGACTGATTGACTGACTGATGATGCCGGTGGCCGGCAGTCCGTTGGAAATGATGGTGATGATGATGATTGATTGATTGATTGATTGACAGATAGAGAGATAGATAGATATCGTGGATGGATGGATAGATAGGTATTATAATTCTCATTATTATCGTTATTATTATTGTAATTGATAGATAGGCCCTTCTCTCTAGTTTGCGGTAGACTACCGGTGCCTAGGCAGTGAAGAGGAAGAGTCTTTTAGTCCGGGTGGATATGGTATGGTATGGTATGGTACGGTATGGTATGGTATCGTGCTAACAGATTTATCATACGTAGCGTGACCTAATCTTTATCGTGGAGTAGAGGTGTAGTCAAGTCATTGACATGTCCCTTTCCCATTCCCTTCCCTTCCTTCACCCCCATTCAATCTTTTCCATCTATCCATCTCACCTCCACTCAACTCCCTCACATGCACACACACACGCACACACACACCCCATCCTCTTCTTCTGGCCGGGCCATATTCTTAGCGACGGGGCTTAAAGCCCTGAATTATACCTCCACAATCACGAGCTTACCGTACCACCACAGACACCTCTTCCTTCCCCCCTCCCTCACTTCCCGATATTACTGTACCGTACCGTACTCCACTTTTTCCCTCTCCCCTCCTCCGCAATACCGGTAACTCTATCC